TTGTTCCTTCCTAAGTGGAGTACTTGCATTTGTACTTAATGAATTTCATCCTATTTACTTCAGACCATTTCTCCAGTTCGTCCAGATCCTTTTGAACTATGCAAGTGCATGCAGGCACTGAAACATTTAGAAAATACAACTAAAATGTATTCAACGAGAAGAAATGTTAATTTACTTTTAAATTTCAAATCCTTGGATTTTGTTGTCTTAAAAGGACATAAGATGGCCAGGCATGATATTTTACCAGTTTTACAAATGTTGTAAATGTAGTAGATCTTAGATCCTAGATTCCCAGTAAATGTTAATGTCTTCAAATCAGTCCTTCAAGCCACAAGGACATTTTTAAGAAAGAATGTATCATATTCTGTCTTTCACCATAATGCTTTATTTCATTCTGATGGTAGATACTACACAGATAGCAGCTACTGCTGTGTCTATACAGCATTGCATTTTGGAGAATGGACCAAACTTCATGATTTTTTTTCTTTAGATTTAGCAACTTGAAGGATCAGTTTGAAAAATAAAAAGTAACATCATCTTTAAAACAACGTAAATTAAAAAAAACTTCTGGGCCTCAGCACTTGACAGTCTCTATTGGAACGAAAGTTGTTTATAGACAAAGCAGTGTATAGTAATAATTGCTTTACCAATTAATAAAGTTATTTGTGATGCAGTATTTTACTCAATATTTGATTGTGCTTTAAATATATTTCTCAGTCTTAGAATAAGATTAAGGAGAAAAATAAAATTAGGTAGCTGTTCATACACAACACCTTTTCTGACATACAATTGCACCATTGCTGGGAATGCAAAAACTATACTTAAGCTAGATGTTGAAATAAAAGGGGGAGTGTCAGCCCCAAATTTAATTGTTGGCTCAGTCTAGTTCTGTCAATGTTCTGCATTATGTTTGTGCTTGCGGGAGAGTACTCAGTTCCTCATCTGCAAAAATGGGGATGATAGCACTTCCTTACCTCACAGGACTTTTGCAGGATAATATACTAAAGATTGTGGGTTGCTCACATATTTGTAAGTGCCTAAGAGGATATGTCTTGTCTAGCAGGTGGTATGAGAATCTAAGCTGAGTAGCCACACTAAAATGTGATGCCACTCTTTAGGAAAGTGTTTCTAAAACTGTGGTCTTCCTGTGTACTTGTTATTGGAGAATTGTCTTATCATGTGCTACTGTTGTCCTTATTTCCAGCTACTTCTACAGCTGCCAAAGGTGTTCATTGCTAATAAAAGCTTGGAGGCCTACAACAGCAGTCAAAAACAAGGAGTGGAGCCAGTCCCAGCTGATTCTGTAAGCTGTAAGGGGCTACTGCTATGTAATAGGAAGGAAATGTGACCTACTCTTGGGGACTGGAGCCACCAGTGGTATTGGAGCTGCCAGTCACCAAGGAACAACCAGGGGAACAGGTGAAAATGGAATGTCACGCATTGCCTTGCTGCCTAGGAGAGATTGGAACAAAGCAGTAGGAAAGTATGTGCAAGAGGAGAAAGGGGCATTAGTTGGCAGAGAAATGTACAGCTCTGAGGAGGAGAGAAAGAAATAGAAGAGATGGTAGGATTAAATGACATGAAGAATAGTAGTGAATACAGTGTCAAAATAATTAAAAGCAACTAAAAATTAATGGGAAAAGTGAGTTGACAAAGTTTGCAAATGATACAAAATTAAGTTCAAAGCTAAATGTGAAGAGTTACAAAGGGATCTCACTGGGTGATGGGGCAACAAAATGGCAGCTAAAATTCAGTGTTGATAAGTGCAAGTAATACACATTGGAAAACATAATCCCAACTATACATACAAAATGATGGGGCCTACTTGGCTGTTACCACTTAAGAAAGAGATCTTGGAGTCATTGTGGATAGATCTTTGAAAACATCCACTTAATGTGCAGCAGCAGTCAAAAAACAAACACACACACACAAAAAACCCTAACAGAATGTTAGGAAATATTAGGAAAGGGTTAGAAAATAGACAAAAAATATCATAATTCCACTATACAAATCCATGGTATGCCCACGTCTTGAATACTGCACACAGTTTTGGTCGCCCCATCTCAAGAAAGATATATTAGAAGTAGAAAAAGTACAGAGAAGGGCAACAAAAATTATTAGGGGTATGGAACAGCTTGCGTATGAGAAGTGCTTAAAAAGACTGGGACTATTCATATTAGAGAAGAGATGACTAAGGGGGCTATGATAGAGGTCTGTAAAATGGTGAATGGTGTGGAGAAGGTGAATAAGAAAGTGTTTTTTACTCCTTCCATAGCACAGGAACCAGGGGTCACCCAATGAAATTAATAGGCAGTAGGTTTAAAACAAACATAAGAAAGTACTTACTCAGACAGCCCAAATCAACCTGTGGAACTCATTGTCATGGGATGTTGTGAAGATCAAAAATATAAATGGATTAAAAAAAGAATTAGGTAAGTTCCTGGAGGATAGGTCCATCAATGGCTATTAACCAAGATAGTCAGGGATGCAACCCCATGCTTTGGGTGTCCCTAAACCTCTGACTGGCAGACCATGTGACTGGATTACAGGGGAATGGATCACTTTAATTGCCCTATTCTGTTAATGCCCTCTGAAGAACCTGGCACCAGCCACTTTTGGAAGACAGGATACTGGGCTAGATAGACCACTTGCCATTCTTACATTCTTATTTTAAACAGATTGAGTTCTTTGAATCTGTCACTTTGTTTTCTAATCCTTTAATTATTTTTGTGGGTCTTCTCTGGACCCTCTTGAATTGTGAGCACTGGAACTGGACACAGTTTTCCAGCAGCAGTCTCACCAGTGCCAAATACAGAGGTAAAACAACCTCTCTAATCTTCTACTGAGATTCCCCTGTTTATGCATCCCAGGATAGCATTATCTCTTTTGGCCACAGTGTTGCACTGGAAGCTTCTGTGTGGTTCATTATCCACCATGACCCCCAAATCTTTTTCAGAGTCACTGCTTCCCAGGATACAGTCCCCCCATCCTGTAAGTATGACTGTCATAATAATAATAATACATATTGCTTGCTTCAGCCCAGTTTACCAAGCAATCCATATCGCTCTGAATCATTATTTCTTCTTCTTCCTTCTTTACCACTCCCCTAATTTTTGTGTTCCCTGCAAACTTTATCAGTGATGATTTTATAGTGTGGTCCACATCTTTATAGAGAGAGTCTGGCAGACCACATTCCCACCACCACCAAATCACAGTCTTGCAGACCTCCTTCCATTCAGTTTATGACCACTTAGCATGCATATAGCAACTACAGCATTTGCTTAAATTGAAAAGTAAAGTAATATAGTCCATGCGATGAAAATGTTTCAGCATCCTTGCCTTAAGCAGTAGCCTCTTCCCTCCCTGCCCCTCCATCTTCATCTAGTAGATTTAGATATTAGAAATGTAAATCATCCTTTTCATTTCCCTGCTGATATAGGATTCATAGATTCATAGATTCTAGGACTGGAAGGGACCTTGCGAGGTCATCGAATCCAGTCCTCTGCCTACATGGCAGGGCCAAATAATGTCTAGACCCACCCTCATATCAATTTATCTAAACTC